ACCTTAGTATTTAAAACATGTCAGTGCAAACAGTCTCATGCACCCCCAAGTAGCATGTATGCGGGCATGCGTCTGTTTGAAGTCTGCTTAAGCAGAGCTCATATGGAAGCATGTGGTCAGGCATGCTCAAGGTGCATTAACTGCAGGTGGAAGTGTTTTTAATCGTAACGTTTAACGTTTAAGTCGTAACGTAATGCATGTGTATGTGAAGTACTGAGGATACAACTGGATAAATGAGACTGGGATTAGAGTTGTGTGAGAGTTTGTAAAAGGTTGTTTTAATATAGTTTTTCTGTCGTAAAACTTGGTCCCTGTTTAATTCATGAACATTGATCATCTTTTTTGGATTCTCCGTTCATTGTGGAGGCAGGTGGGAAAAAGAAAGTGTTCTTCATAAATTCAGCGAAACATACAGTAAGTATTGATATGCAGATGGTCATTTTGTGGATGGAGTATTTCTTTAAGGCTTACATATTAATTTAGGGGAGTTTATGTGATACCATGGACATTTCCTGGTCCCATTTCTGGCTGGTTTGCTTTATCTCCATCTTATCTATCGTCAATTGTGCATCTTGCTTCTAAATATATATCACACAGGACCTAGTTCTTCTCCGACAGCACCCACTTCACAGAAACACCCTGTTCATTACTGCATGTTTCCATCTGTGTGACTTCGGCCAATGAAGCATCTGGTCAGTACACAGCTTGAGGGATGTCTTGAAGTCCATTTGATGAAGTCCATTTATAGGGACAGGGCAGTCATACAGTATGCAGGATTGCCAAATATATTCATCCAGGTCACTGTCTCTCTTCATCTTCTCTCTGACATCTTTTCTTGTGAGGTAGAGAGTCTGATGGCCTAAAACCCAGCAGAGATTGAAGCTTATAGCAGGATACTGCAGGCATCTTGTCCCTGCATAAATGATGACAACGAACCTCTTGAACTCCCAGTCAGCACGGTTCGTGTGTGTAATAATATACAGTGGAAGACAATATTTGTGTAAAAAGATACTTCAGGCAAAACAATGCCTGTAATAAAAGGTGTTGTTTGTTTTTGGAGAGATCTTGATGTGGGCAGCTGCCAACTAGAGCTATAAAGTTCCTCTTTGTGAATAGACATTTGCATACAGGCAGTATTTCATACTAAAAGGCACCAAACTTTCTCTGCATCAAACTGTCTACAAAGTTACAAGTTAGTTAAATAGTTACTTGGACATTTGCTCATGCAGTTCATGCCGCTCAGTGTCACTCCCAGATGTCTCCTGGTGACCCATAAAGTTCTCTGGAGTAAGAAATCATAAGGAATACTTTGTGGGCATGTTGAAAGGCCACATTTCTGAAGTAAACTGTGATGTGTTTCCATGTGTGGTCTAATTTAACTTCAGGTTCTCTGGAGAAGAGCTTTAAGAGCAGAATCTGGGTGAATCTGTAAACTTAAGTCCCAATTCAGAATGCAACTAGAAAAGTGCACCCAGAGTGCAGATCTCCACTAGGTGTGTCTGGGGGGATGTGGGTGGGTAACAGGCAGTGCAGGACAGACTGTGTGAGTGCTGAGTTAATCTGCAGATGCTCTACTTCAAAATGAGACCAAACTTTTCTATGGATGTCAGTTTGGAGCCACAACAAAGGGCTTAATGTGGCCTGCCTGGGTAAGGCTTATTTTTCTGAAAATGCCATGTGATTTTGATTTTAATGATGATTTTGGTACTCAGTGTACATTAATTCCTGTTTGCAAGCACATTGCCCTGTCGTGTTTAACATAAAGGGCTCTAGTTTCGCAGACTGGGCGCGGTGGGGGCGTAGCACACCTGCGCTTCGCCAACTGGGTGCGGCCAGGCGGATTTTGTAAGTTTGGCACACCATGCGCCCTGGTGCAGCTACTCCTCTTTCCCACCTCCGTCCCTCCTGCCGGCGCAAGTCGGAAAGAGGGAGGAGAGAAGGCGTGGAGTGTGTTTTACACACATCACACCAATCAAATGAGCCCCTCTCCTCGCCCTTAAATGTGCCACGCGAAGGTGTAATGAGAGTTTACTCAATTCGCCATGGCAGAAGAGAGCAGCAGCGTCAGACGGCCAAACTTCTCCCAGGAGGAAACTTATGTTTTGGAGGGAGGTCCAAGCTCACAGTGTCCGAATATACGGAACTGCGAGCAGACCTCCACGGGCTGATGATGCAAAGGTAGCCTGGGAGGAGGTCACCACAATTGTAAATCAATGTTGCGTTTCTCACGTGCGCGTGCGCGCTCTCTCTTTCTCTCTCGCAGTCTCGCCCTGTTTCTTTTCTTTTGACTTTTCTAAGATGACAGATCCTGAATATATACTCCCTATCTGATGCTGTGGCTGTTTGTGGTTGGCTGAGAGGGATGTGAACTCATTAGTTTGCAGTCTGTGTTAATCAAATCAGGTTAGGTTTCCATTACGCATGCCAAACGTGCCAAACAGTGCCAATCCCCTTTGATGTGACATCAGATGTGACGGGACAGTCGATATAGAGATACATTTATGTGCTGATTGCAGATAGTTGCATTGAATAGTGTTTTTTTGGGGTATTTATTGCATTGTTAATGTGCCTGATATTCTGGAAACCTGCCTGTGAGGTTTTGATGACGTGTGCGCACTGTCCGCCGGTCAGCCAAACTTCGGCTTACACCAGCTGCGCTCCCCCTGCGCTGACAGTAGACGTGGTTTCAGATGGAGACATGAAATACAATGCTTTTCAATGTTTGTAATATACATTCATTGTGCAAAATAAGAAAAAGCATGTTGGGTGATTCTATCGGCCGATACCGATGACGTGTCAACATTATCATGCATCCCTAGTTGGGAAGATAACTGTGGAGGAAGTCAAACCTATGATCAGAATAGTCACTCTTACTCTTACTCTTCTGGGGACTCCCTGGAACTCCCTCAAGGTACCCCTGTGCATCCCCAGACCCCTGGTTAAGAACAACTCTCTTAAAGAACAACTGTTGTATTGTTTGATTGAGTGAATGCAAACCACAGCTGTCTTACTTTGACATGCAGATCTGGACATGTACACCTCGTAAACACCAGTGATGTTAAAGGTCAATTTCAAGGTGAAAATGCAAACAAAAGAATATGCTAACACTAACCTGACCACCATGTATGTTGTCCTGATTGGAAACAAGATTCCAAACTATGACGGAACAAAATAGAGCAAATCACAGCAAGCATGAGAGGTCCTTGAGCATACAGTCATAAGTGTGCACAAAAATATTAGGCTGAGACTATAGCGGGCTGAGTTTTTAAGCTTCTAACTTCTGGTAAAGAAAAACTGGCATTTTCACAACACACTCTTTCCTTTACAGACATGACCACTTTATGGTTACATGTAGTTTTTTGCTTGCAGTACAACTGTGTTATTTTCGTCGATTGTATTTGAAAATGTCTGTATAAAGGGGATCCTAAACAGCGTTGGAATTGTATAAATTTGGTATGACTGGAAAGCTGAGACTCTTGTGGATTCACTAAGCCCAGTTTTTTTTTGTTCATGTGTTGTGATGTTAATCCCCACAGTAGCTGTGTCATTGTAGTGGGACCATTTCTTTAAAACAGACATCACTGTATAAAATGACCTATTGTGACCTCTACAATAATCACAGCCCTATGAAACTTTACAGCCACAAACTAGAGACCTCGGGCACTCAAAGGATGTATGGATTTCATAGGTATATTTACTATAAAGGGGTATCTGAGCAGTTTCCAGAACAAAGGTGCTCGCCATCCAATCACTAAAAAATGGAATTCTTACCAAAATCTAAAAATGTCTTTTTTGATACCAAATCACAGCATGTTGTTCCTCAAGGCCTTGGTGTCTTAATATGATATTTTGGAGGGATTTTTGACATTTTTTTTTTTTATAAATTCTCGAGTGGTTAAAATTGCTTAAAAATTGCATCAAATCTGTAGCAACAAAAATTGTTGCAACAACTTATGAAACATACTTGAGCATGGGAATGGACATCAGATACTTCCAGCATAATGTTCTAAGCCCCCATACTCTAAAAATTAAAGTTTGAATGGAACACAATGTTTATTACAGATTTATGACTAGAAACACCTGACACACACGGTGTTGAGCTCCTCATAAAATTCCCTGTACCCACCTAAAAAAGACAGAAATGTGTCTTTGGTAGGGAGCGGTGGAGTAGGAGATGTTAAACCTCGTAATCATCCTGTAAATTTCACACCCGCTTCACAAGACAAAGTCATACTTTGTCGTTAAAGCAACAGTTAACAGCTTTAAGTGTTTTTTTCACATCCAGTTCAATAACATGTAGCAGTCATGCAGGTTGATGTTTTTAGGTCGATGTGTTTATCTTTGATTCCAAAATGCTCCATTATCTGTTTTCAGAAGTAATTTCAAGATTTGTTCTTTCAACAACCAAACTGTTCCTGTATCTAAAATGTTTTTATTATTATTATTAGATGATTTCATGGCCAAGAGAATAAATGCCACATGGTGTCTGTGTCATTTTGGTATGAAATTCCAGTAATGTGATTCTTCAGTGAAACCTTCCTTCAGAGACAACAGACATTGTGTGTGAATAGATTACATGAAAGGATCCATATTTAGATTTGGACTGAACACACAAACACAACAAGTGACTGTTCCCCCTGTGTCCTCAGGATTTAAATATAAAAAGCATTTGCTTTTGCAAATTCATGAGCTTTGAATTATCATCAGGATTGTTGAGATGCCTCTAACTTCTCATCATCTATTTTCTTTAGTGCTTGTTTCTCAGGTTTTACAAAATACACACTTGTAAATTATTATTCTCTAATAACACCAAATATTGCCCAGAACAATCAGCTGCACTGATGGTAACACAGATGTATGTTGAGTCAGCTCAGACAATAAGTCAAAAGCCACAAAAAGTCAATAGCAGGACATGAGGTCAGCAGAAACAGACCTAATAGAGTGACTCTTCAGCTCTTATTGCTCTTGAGTTTTTAACTTTGTCCATTAAAAATTTACAGATATACAACGAAGAAAGACGGAGGTTCAGTCTGGTGAAGAATCAGCCTCGGAAGATTGTGGAGAAGGTGGCCTCAGATATAGAGAAGCTCCTGGCTAAGAAGCGCAAAGCACTCGATGTGAGTATGAAACTCTTTATTGTTACAGTTAACTATTTCATCCTCTACTTATTTCTCTGTATGCTTTTAACTGTAAATTCTTGTTTTCTGCAAGTGATGTATGTCAGAACTACATTTTCCAGTGTTGAGTAATTAAGTTATTAAGTAATAGCTTATTACTAATTTATTGATCCCTGGGTGTGAAATCAGGATATATTACAGTTACTCTTATATATAAGCATAGAGATTTATTAAAAAAACAGAAAATAAGAAGTATGTAAAAATATAAGAATATTTACACAATGCTACAATATATAAAACAATATCTTGTTATATTTTAATGTTGTAATGTTATTGTTGCTGTTGTGGGATCGTAGTGTTGTAGTTGTATTGTTGTTGCTGTTGTTATTGTTGTGATGACTTGATGTTGTGTTGTCTTGTTATTGTCATTGCTGAAGCTGCTGTGATGAATGTGTTCAATTTTGTAATTGTGTGTTTTATATAATAGTGTCTTTTAGCAGAGAAATTATTTTCTGTTTCCTGCCCAGGGACTATAAATGAAAAAGAGCTCATAGCTAACTCTGGTGCAGCTAAGTAGCTGTGCACTGTCCCTGTTAAATGAATAAAATGAAATAAATATAAAAGTAAGAGTAGAGAGTAAGAAATATGTGCATTATATTACAAAGTGTTTTGAATATAAATGCAAGATTTTTTTAACCCTTTGAAACCTGAGCAAATTGGCTTGATTTCTTTTAAAAACAAGAACATTAGTGATTAAAAAAGAAAGAAACAAACAAGGAAATTACCTGGAAAAAATACTTAAAAATAATAATAATTATGTAACATAGTTTTAAACCATCACAATAGTAATAGTAACTAATTATATGTAGATTTTCCCTAGCTTTTTTCTTTTATTTGCAGTTTTTTTTACATTTCTAAATCTATGTTTTTTTTTTGTTGTTTTTTTTTTCATTTTATTATTATTTTTTTTGCAATTTTTAGGACATTTCTCAAGTTTCAAGTTTTTTTCACATGAATTTGAAAGAAATTGCACCAATTTGCTCAGGTTCAATGGTTTAAATACTGACGAAAGGCATCTGTGACTTATGGAAGGGATGTCGCTCCAGGTTTCATAGCGTTAAATCAGAATAAATTAGGATATTAGTTCAAAGAATGTAGCAGCAGTTTAATTATTCCTCAAATCATTTTACAATTAAGGCTACAGTTGCACAGAATTACTGTACCATCACCGTCAGTAACGATATGATAATGCAGCAGGCTGCATGCGGGACAACGCATGCACACTACTGTGATGTTTAAGTTTAGATTCAATAAGCTTCCATGCAATAATGATGATAATAATAATATAGTATTACATATACATTTTAGAGAAACCGAGTGTTGGATGTGTGGGATGAAAATTAAAATTTGATTTGTTCCATCTTTCAAAGATGACCAAGCAAACTATTTTTGCAACACACACATCAAATGATATAGACGTCACTCTCTGACATTAATTCATACATTGTAGAAACGTCTGTTATTGTTCTTTGATCAGGCCATAAATACAGAGTTTTACCTTGTTTTATTGACTGATTTAAAACTGAGTAGCTTCAGGATGGCTATAGGATTTGCAAATTAGAAGCAAAAAAATGAGACATCGATAGAAAAGTATTTGATTGATGTTATTCCTGATACTGTCTGAACAGCTCTCCTGTGGTAAAAAGTGCAGGGAGACATTATTCCCAAAAGCCAGTAAACCCACTTCTGCCTCAGCCCGATGCCTCACGGTGTTCCTCCCTTTGATTAGGAGAAATCAGACATGTCACTGTACCTGCTCCTCTGATGTGACTTGTTCTCTGTGTTCTTGCAGAGGTTAGCCAGTGAAGCTGAGCGGCTCCAGCGAGAGCATCTATGGCAGGATGGAATCAAGGTAAAATCTTAAATAACATCATATTTGCAGTTAGAATAATGAATTTGTAAATTTTGATCACATTGTCAGCATTATTGAGAGCCCTTGATATACAGTACAGAACAATCCTATATCTGATCAATACCATTGAGACCCCTTCATATTGTTTTTCTCATGTATGCAAACCAAAAACTTCCATTTCTCTGTTGTGTGGGATTTATTTAATCCTCATTTCCCCCCGTAATGGAAACGTTACGCAGTCAAATTTAACCACTGATGTAAATTCAAACCAGATGGGTCTGATGTCTCTGAGCGCTGTGACTCTAAATGGGACGACCTGAGAAAGACAGAACATTTACACCAGTCAGCTGAGCAGCTCCCCAAGCGCTCAGCTGTGGCGAAACAGATGACCAAGTGCACTCATCCGTGCGGTTTGGTTGAGTCCTACACGCATTGGCATTCCACTTTTCCACTCGGTCTGCTTCATTTACCCAACAAAGTGAGATGGGGTTAACCTCATCCTCTCACATGGCCTCTCACGTCCCTCTCTGAGGCAGTGAATCCCTCTGTCATTTAAAAAGACACTGGTGGTTTTGAGTGTTTTAGCCCATTCACTGAAAACGGTGAGAACTTAACCACACTGTCAGACAGTTTCCTAAGACTGCCGTCGGCTTTTAGATTGATTTCCTGCCTTCCACTGAGTTTTCCAGTATCTGCTGGATACGATTCATATCCAGTAGATATTATATGATGTAAAAAGCAACCACAAATGAATTGTATTTTTTCTGGCTGTGAAATATGTATCTAACATGAGAATAATTTAACATACTGGGAAATGCTCACTTTTGTTCTTTCTGATAGTTAGATGAGAAGATTAGCACTCTCATGCCTGTCCATGAAATGTGATGCAACAACAGCTGGTTGGCGTAGCTTAGCATAAAGACCCGGAAACCATTAGTCTGGCTCTGTTCCAAGGTAACAAAATCTGCCTACCAGCACCTCTAAGGCTACATCCACGTTTTCGTTTTAAAATGCATATTGCTACTTTAATACCTAGCGTCCACATTACTCCAGTGTTTTAAACCCCTAAAACCAGAGACCTTTGGCAACACTGCTGACCCTGTTTTATTTTGAAAACTTTGGGGTTGCGGTTTAGTCGAGACAGGCGAAAACGAAGACTTTCAGAAGCGTTACGCAGACACCCATGTTTGCTTCCTGATTGGTTTTCATCAGTCACAATGTGTCAAGCCAAAACATTAAAGCTAGGCCTACATATCTTTTGTGTTTTCATCCCTCTTGGGTAGCTGTGGCTTCCTCCAGAAATGAATAACACTCCCGGTACTGCTCTGATGTGTGACCATATTTGCGTTCTAATGACTGCCAATCTGTTTCCTTCCTTGTCTGCCTTATACCCATGCGTTACTTTAGTAACGGTTACACCTCTTTGTTGGTGCAAGCAAAGAAATCTCAGGTCGTATTTTTTGCCATCTCTGTAGTATTCTTCATAAACAAGCAACCAACTACAGAGTAGACAACTTGCTTCCTGTTTACACCAGCAAGTGTATGTGAATGGTCATGTGATATGCATTTCCAGGCATGTTAGTATGGACGGAGATTATTTCTGAAACTGTATTAACCCATCCATATGTATGAAGCCCACATGATGCCACATCCACACTATAAGTTTTTGCCTTAACGTGTCATATCTCCAGAAAGTTGCTGCACCTGGCTGGAAATAGTGCCGCACGTAACCCACCATTAAACCACTGTCTATTTGTTACTTTTGTGCAGAGTCAGGCTGGTGCTTATGCTAAACTAAGATAACTATGTCATAGCTGTAGCTGTATAGATATTCTCGTCTAGCTTTCAGCAAGAAGGTGACAATGTGCATTTCCCGAAAATGTCAAACTATTGCTTTAGATTGCCCTAATTTTAACCATGAGTCACTACACTCTTATATTAAGAGTATGTGTACAGTATAATGATGGAAAGCTGATTCCAAAATCTTAGACAAGAGACTAAAAACTGAACATTTCTTTGCAATTCTTGTCTCAGAATACAAAGATAGAATTGTTTTACGAAAAAAGATTCAACCAGTGATGTTGGTCAGTGAGTTTCACTTACTTTTGTGCAGGAAGAAGACTGTAGTGAGTTAATGCAGTTTACTTGAATAAAAAAAAAAAAAAAAACAGCTGCATACTCAGATGGTGATCCTCATCAAGACCAGTTAGCTAAACTGTCAGTTGTTTTTCATTTGCAGCTCAGTGGGCAAAGGACAGGAGTCAGTTTTTTGGCACCGTCCACTGGAGTCAGAGCCGAAATATTGTGCTGGCTTTCTTCAATCCAGTATCATTTTTTGAGTCAATTCCCACCCTAAACATTTCTTATAGTATCATTCATGACATTTTTATCCTATACAAGACAGGTGAAACATTTGCTGGAGGACTGAAGCCCTGCTGACGGGCTCAGATGTAAAGTGGCAGATCTCTCAGGAGAAGTTAACAAGGAGGATGAGCCGTGTCACTTCTCTGGACTGGCTGATAAAGAATACCGGCTGGTAACGGCTGGATGTGTTCAGAGCTGTACTCCTCTGAGGGCGGGAGATCCGTAACACTAACAGCAAGAAGACAAACTTGTCATACTTACTTGAAATGTAATATAGGGTAAGGAACTCTGTGGAGATAAGATTTTGGAATCAGAACAGGCCAAAATAGGAGCATAGCAGCCTCCGAATCGATGTCGTGCTTACTCTGAAGTATGTTATGTCGCTTCAGAAACTAAGACTAACAGATGGCGCTGCTCCATCCAAGCCTTACAGCCTGTCTACTGATTCATAATGTGACAGAACTCTGCAGAAAACAATAGCAAACATTTGGTAGATATAGCCTAACAAATGCAAGGATTTGAGGCTTTTAGTGCCTCTGTGAGAGGCAGAGGCTGTGAGAGAAGTGTTTGAGAGTTTGCAGCTTTTTTAAATGAAGTTATTTATTCAAGTTAAAGGTCCAGTGTGTAGGATTTAAGGGCATCTATCGGCAGAAATGAAATATAATATTTAGAACTTTGTTTTCATTAGAGTATTATCACTTGAAAAAAAGGATTCTGTTTTCGAAAATGAGCCATTTATATCTACATACGGAGCAGGTCCTCTTCCATGTAGTCTGCCATGTTGTTTCTACAGTAGCCCAGAACGGACAAATTAAACACTGGCTCTGGACAGGACCAATTGCATTGTCACACTTGGCACACAGGAGAAGTTTCAGTTCTGCAACCTTACCGCTAGATGCCACTAAATCCTACACTCTACATTAGTGGTTCCCAACTGGTGGGTCACGGTCCAAAAGTGGGTTGTGTGCCCATTCTGAATGGACCGCAAGTGACTCGCAAACATTTCAAATTTGTAGTGCAGTGAATTCCTGGCGCATAGCTTTTATTTTGAAGTGCCATTTCCTGCTTTAGAGTAAGTAAATGGACAGCTACTTTACAGAGACAAACTAGCTCGACGACATGGCCAAATGCAAGCATTACGCTCGATATATTAAACTGTGTGAACCTTGATCTAGTGATTAAGGAGAAATCTGGACCCCGTGGCTGGACCAGTTGGGAACCACTGCTCTAGACCTTTAACTACATTAACATAGAAGCATTTTTAATTCTTTTTCTTGTACGAAATAACAAAATGTTAGTGTAATTTACTGACCAACATCTCTGATTAATGTTGTCTGTAACACAAGCGTTTTGGTGTGTGTTGTGAGAAAAAAACTGCGCAGAAATATTTAGTTTTCACTCTATAATATCTTGTCTTGTACAATATCTCAGAAACACCTTGAGGGAATTTCTTAAAATTTGGCACAAATGTCTACTTGGACTCAATGATGATGGTTTTTGGCCATAACTCAAGAATTCATACACAAACCATGACATAATTTGACAAAAATGTTTAGTAGGATGACATCAAATCAATCAAATCAAAGGTCAACTTCACTGTGACACAATAATATTCTGTAAAACACTTTTATGGCCGTTATTCGAAGTCATAACACAGAGGGGCAAACATTTAGTCAGATACCGAAATGGTGACACTAGTCTTGGGTGCTCACCTTGAAACTGTGCTGATTGTATAGATCTGCTTTGCTGCTGGAGGGAAGGTGGGTGTGAAGCATCCATGTAATACCTTATATGAAATTCCCTCATAGTTGTCAATACAAATATGAGTCTGGACAGACAAATATGTAAATTGCTGTTTGGAGAAGTTTGCCTGAAGGGTTTTCTGCCAGAAAGGAATCCTGGATGAAAACCCTTCAGGCAAACTTCTCCCATGTGCATGTTAAACTGCAGCTTATCTAAGTGGCAGAAATCGGGGAAGAGGCTGTAATGAGCTCATTATCATTATTGTAAATGGTGGTCTGTTACTTACAGGTTATGATGCTGTTGTGTGCCTGTAGTCAGTCAAAAAACTTTCACTTCTCTGTAATAACCTGCTACATTTGACACCTTTAATCCATCATGGATTTTGACTGCAACTATTCACATCAAATGTTTTTGTTGTTTAGTAATTTTTTTTATTTTTTATTTTTATAAACAGCCTGGGTTATCCTTAAACAGCGTGTATTATGTCCATATTTGAGGCTAACAAAAGACTTGAGAGACAGATAAATTTAAGTACAAATACCAAAAGTACAGTTTGGGGATTGACATGATTAGTTGTTTGTGAACATTAATTATGATTAATCAAAACAATCTTTAGTCTTAATCCTAATGAAATAGCCTCCATGTGTCGTCTAGAGGTTGACCTGACCTGTACATACTGTATGACTACTAGTCCTCATGTTGTTTCACGGTTGCCAACAGTGCAGCCTCCTCATATATGCATCTGTTTCCTCCCAGGAGCTGGACATGGCATATTATGACTCCAAGGCGGAGCTGGATTATGTGAGTGAACAGATTTGTTTGATTTGTTTATATTTACTGTGGCTACTCGACAGACGGAGATTATTTGATGTGTTGTAAGTGTCTCATTGAATTAAACAGACTATAAAACAACTGGCAACTTTAATTTGGAGTAGAGGTAAAGGTGTCGTTATGTTTGTGCTGATGAAAAGATGAAGGTGTATGTGACGTGTACTCTCTGATGTTCTCATAGTATTCCATGGATGGAGAAGGAGAGGTGGAAAACCCTTCGCACATCAAGCTGGAGTTTGTTTATGATCCGAACTTCAAAAACAATGTCAACTATTCCTACACAGCTGTGCAGATCCCCACAGATATTTATAAAGGAGGCAAGTGAAGTTCTGATGATTCTATTCATTACTCAGCTGCATGAAAAGATGCCCTATATGTGTGATGTACTTATTTTACATATTTAAAGGAGCATATCTAAGAAGTTTAACTCCTCTCCCCTCAGCTCCAGTCATTCTGAATGAGTTGAACTGGACGCAGGCACTGGAGAAAGTGTTCATGGAGAACAGTCAGGAGGATCCGTCACTGCTGTGGCAAGCGTTCGGGAGTGCAACGGGTGTCACTCGCTACTACCCAGGTAGATTTGATCAACCATCCTTGTGCTGCGCTTCCTAACTTAGGTTAGATATGAAGGGTGAATTTTCAGTGGTGTTTTATGTGTGTTTTTTTCAGCCACACCTTGGAAAGCCCCCGATAAAATCGACTTGTATGATGTCAGGAGGAGACCCTGGTACAGTGTGCTGCTTTAAACATCGTTTCATGTCAGCCTATCACAGGTGCTGTAGATTTTCAGGGCTGACGTATTGAATCCTCTTGTTTGCTTTGTTACAGGTACATCCAGGGAGCCTCATCGCCCAAAGATATGGTCATACTTGTTGATGTGTAAGTTATTATTAACATTTGTTTTCGTTTGTTTGTGAATGTATCACAGATATACTGGCAAAAGAGTATCGCCTTTACTATTGCTTATGTACCTGTGAATTTATTTCAACATACAAAACTCACTTTCTCCACAGTTTAAAATAATTAAGTGGTGTTAAGATCCATCTGTGAAGTTTTCCTCAGCCTCCCTTGCACCTCTTTCTCACTCACAAGTGAAGTGTAGAGAGCATTTATGGTGTTATTGCACATAAGAGAACAGCTTCTTTGTGCTTCTGGCCCAATAGGCCAGCAAAGCTAGAGAACAATGATAGAGTAAAAGAAAGTTGTGTTGTCACAGAGAAACAGTGCACCTGGCACTGACTCTGCAGCAAAACCAGCTGAGAGTGCAGCTCATACTGCTGCTCGTGTGTAACAGCTTAAAGGTCAAGATAGAGATGATTCAGACACAAGGACAAAATCTAAGTGGTTTGTACAAGATGTTGTTTTTTAGTGTTAAACAGGAGAAACAGCAGAGCAAACAATTTAATGAGACAGGAGCTTTACTATTTAAAGATTCTGCAGGCAACATTCAGAGCAGTAATATATCACCTAACAACTATTTTCTATGTGAAGATATAGTGAAGTAATTGCATCCTGGGCAGAGAAGTCACACTTGGTGTTGGAGTGATCTGAGCTTCTCTGTGGTTTGTTGTGGTAAACTGGTTTGTCTACATGTGCATGTTAGTGCATGTGTGTATCCCACTGGCGAGCTCATCGCCACCGCTGCTCATACAATGGTTACCACTGATATAGGGAACATGGATGAATAGAGATCTGGATACAGCATTGGAGGCAGGCCCCCATTCATTCCTATGAAAGTTGTTCAGCAGCACCTGGGTTTGCGCAGCATGAAATTATCCAGATCTTCCACACCGTGGGGCCCAGTGGTGTAGTCGTGGGTATACGCAGGGTATACACACCTCTTTTTGTGAGTTTTTACAGTATACCCACCAATATTTGCCAAATGTGGACATGTATGCAATTACCTAAAATCACTAAGAATACTTTAATACTCATCTCTAACGTTTACCTTGAATTATGGAAGCTAAGCAAAGCCGGGTGCAGCCTTCAGTCAGGTTGCCAGTGTAGGTGGGTGTGCGTAGGGTCCTCTGGCTACTTCAATCTGATCCACCCCTCGCTCCTTCACAGCTCCACCCTCTTGTCCAAATATTTGCATGTCTGGTTGCAAAAATCCAAAATGGCAAGGGCCAAAATGCCAAACCTCGGAGCCTCAAAACAGCAGTCAACAAACCAATGGATGACGTTTAGATGGCTACGTCCATTATTTTTACAGTCTATGATACCCACTTCCTCCTCAGCAACCTACCCATCTACTTAGTAGCACAACCACCTCATCAACTGCCACTACACCACTGGAGCATGCACGCAGGAGACTTAGAACCGAGTGCGGCTAACTTCTGGTTTAGTGCTCCGCTAATGTGAATGGCAGAAAAAATGATTTAATTGCGCTGCTCTTCTGGACTTTGGAACTGTTGTCTGACCGTTCAAAAAATGTATCCACTGATTTACAGACGTCTCTTTCACAATGTAAGTCTACCAAATGGAGTCTTTTTGGGCCCCATGGCATTACGTAAAGGATGGTGTATTTCCACTTTTGGCCCAAATGTAAAATCGCCTGTAAAGCCCGGCACTGCTTCTTGGGGCTTGATAGGGAATGGGAATCATGGAGCATTCTGGGGCAGCGCCACCATCTTGAAAGGATAAATGTCCGCAGTGATGGTCATCTGTCAGTCGTTAATCAACAAAAATGTTTAAGTACTAGAAGATAATTCAGTTTTCTCACTCTAAATATACATATATTTCCCAAAATTGTCGAACTGTTGCTTTAAGCTTAAACTTAATCAGACCAAGTGTTGCATTTTGTTTCTGTGCTAGATCAGATAGTAGAGTGTGTTTGCTGAGTGTGGTCAAATTAAATTCTGAGGTCGAGTGCAGCAGCCTGTTGTAGCCTCTGTTCTGTCCCCATGATGGCTGCTATTCATTGTGGTGGTAATAGTGGTTCATTGGCACTCTTTGCAAGGTTAATCCTATTACTGGGCTGAATGAGGAAAATTTTAGCGTAGCCCTCAGAAATGACCTTTAATAAACGTGGTTCATCCCATGTACATGAAGATGGTCACTGTATTCAAGTACAAATGAGTAATGATAATAATAATATTAATACATTTTATTTAAAAAGACGCCTTTCAAAACACCCAAGGTCACCAAACAAAGCATAAAATAACATACATGAACAAAGGAAAATATCTAACCCCATATGATGTGTTTTATTAATTTAATTTCATTGCATTAATTTTCACACATTGTAAAGAAATACTGCTGAATCTATGTTTATTCATTCAGACAGTATTTAAGGACATCAGTGTATGTGTACTAAATGGTGTTTGTCCATATTTTCACTGGGGTTGCATTAGGGTTTTTTCTTTGCTTTCAGTTTTAGCAGCACAGCTGAATATTGAGTTTGGGAGAAAACAAACTGTACATTGTTGTGTTCCTCAGCGGACTGCAAAGTATGGCAGATGGAAATACAAACAAATAGCTGCTAACAAGGATTTATCAATGCTGATTGATTACTGCAGCAGGAGAAATTATGTCTGTGATCGAACATCTGGAGGAAGTACGTGCCGAGTTTTCAGCACTGCTGAAGACTTTGGTCACATGCTCAGAGGACAGAGCGTGCACTGAAACTGTTAATTATACACCTATTGGACTTTCTGCATCATTCTGAGGGGATTTTACTGTTCAACCAATGATCTTTTTGTTGTGCAAATATTACCTCACGTAGTAAACATGGAGGGGACTGCAGGAGGTGCAAGAACAAGTCTAGGTTTTCTCATACTTTGGAAAAGGACGACAAATTGATGGAGCTGTTGAGTGAACAAGACGAGAAATTTTAATCTGTGAAACAGTTTTCCTCTCATTCCCACGGCCTTCTTCTACTAAAATAGTGCAGCTAAGCAACAGAAGCTGGTGACAAGTTGAGGCGAAAAAATCCATAATGTAAAGTTTATAATACAGTTTGTAGATTATGTTGATGCCTATTTAACAAGAATACTGTCGACATACAAGGCCTTTTTATCTTGTGTTTCAGGAATGATGTGCTTTTTGCGGACATGTAAAGAATTGTTAATATTTGTCAAAGTGAGGGCTTAATATTTTTCACCAGGGGCAGGATAGGAAATAATTTCCATCTAGGGTAACACTTTACTTAAAGGTATCTACATAAGGGTGACATGACACTGTCATAACTATAACATGACACTGTCATAAACTTGTCATAAACATTATGTACATGTCATAAACGTTTATGCCTGCTGTCATTAAGTGTCATTCGGTTTTTGTTGACATTGTTTGGGTTGTCTTGATTATAACAACTTGACATTAGCCAAGATGACATTACAGATACAGAAGTTGTCTTTGTCATGACAAGTTGACATTAAATTTGTTTGGGATGTCATTATGACAACTTGACATTAGCCAGGATCACATTACCAGAAGATGTCTTTGTATCAATCATTATGTCAACTTGTCATAAACACAAAAAGAGGTGCATTTCTTGTTAATGTCAAGTTGTTATGACAAAGACATCTTCTGGTAATGTCATCCTGGTTAATGTCAAGTTGTCATTATAAGGACATACCAAACAAATCTAATGTCAACTTGTCATGACAAAGACAACTTCTTGTAATGTCACTTTAATTAATGTCAACTTGCCATAATCAAGACAACTCAAACAATCTCAACTTGTCATAATCAACCCAAACAATGCCAACTTGTTATTACAAAAACTGAATGACACTTAATGAGAGCAGTCATAAACGTTTATGACATGTATATAATGTTTATGACAGTGTCATGTCATAGTTATGACAGTGTCATCATGTCACCCTTATGTAGATACCTTCAAGTAAATTGTTACAGAATCGAGTTATAGGTTTGAAACCAGTGACCCTGCAAGATCACCAGTCTGCAAAATCTTATAATGTGTGACAAAAAACTCACACTGTCTTTAGATGTGCCAAGTCAGGTTAATAGAGCACAGAGAGAGATCAGATAAAAACAGAGGCATGATCAATAAGTAAATAAATAAGATAATATAAGTAAATTAATAAAAGCAGACATTACCTTGATAAAATCATAAGACAAAAGCAGCATTGCACAGACAACAAAATATAATACAGTCAACTAAAAAAACAGAGTGTGGTCATGGTCGAGCATGTCATCGTAATGATTATTAAAAGGCAAAAGGGCTTTGTTTTAAAGGTATCGATGGAGTGGTCAATTTAGGGCCAATGACTGAAAATGCTCGATCACCTCTGGTTTTTAGCAGGGTGCGTGGAATGGAGAGCAGTGATTGGTCACCAGATGTGAGAGGGTGTCAGACTTAAGTCTTTTAAAAGTCTTTTCAAAGTCTTCTAGGGCAATGGTTCCCAACTGGTGGGTCGCAGTGGGTTGTGGGTCCATTCTGAATGGATCATAAGTGACTCATGAACGTGTGAACTTTATAAAAAAAAAAACACACTTTGTTTTTAGCACAGTGAATTTCTGGCACAGAGCTTTAATTTTGAAGTGCTGTTTTGCACAGTAGAGTGAGTGACTAACAGACAGTTACTTGACAGAGACAGCAGTCTAGCTTGATGGCATGGCCAAACACAAGCATGGCACTGAATGTATTAAACTGTGTGGACCTTGAACTAATGACTAAGGAGAAATCTGAACCCTGTGGCTGGACCAGTTGGGAACCACTTGTCTAGTGTATTGTAATTTTGCACAAATTTTGTGCCCCTATTTAGCAGCATGTTATCCATATCAACTGCAGCTGGGCTCATATATTGTGCACCTTCAGTTTCGTCACGTACTCTGCTAAACTGAAACATGCTGCATAATTTTGCAGGCCTTTATGTAAAATGATCTTTTTGTGTGTGTTTGCCTCTGTCGCCATGTATTTATCTGAGCATGTAATTGGGACATGTGTGTTTCCTCAGGAGCGGCAGTGTCAGTGGCCTCACCCTGAAACTCATCAAAGCGTCAGTGATGGAAATGCTGGACACCTTGTCTGATGATGACTACGTCAATGTGGCGAGGGTCAGTATCTGCTGCAATCACATCTATCTGTCTGTGACTTTGTTTCACTTGTTTCCTAAACTTCAGTCTTTACATATTTAAGCCCAGACTGTGTCCTCTGCTGCGTTCCAGTTTAACGAGAAGGCAGAAGCCGTGGTTCCCTGCTTCAAACATCTCGTCCAGGCTAACGTGCGCAACAAAAAGATCTTCAAGGATGCAGTGCAGCAGATGCAGGCGAAAGGCACCACCGACTACAAGTCTGGATTTCATTTTGCCTTCAACCAGCTGTTAAATGTAAGTCACATATTGATTTACTTCGACTGGGCATTAAGTCAATACAAATGTCTCGACACACTGTTTTACTGTATTGACCAACCCGACTGCTCACCCTCATTCGTCTCCCTTTGAAATGCATTTTTCAGAAGACAAATGTTCCCCGGGCCAACTGCAATAAAATAATCATGCTGTTTACTGATGGAGGAGAGGACAGAGCTCAGGATGTCTTCATGCAATACAACTGGCCCAACAAAACGGTTGGTTTCTTTTGATCATAACAAACACAGTTCAGTTACAGCCAGCATTTGGGAAAGGATGCACTGTGGTGTCTTTATCCCTTTGAAGACTTTTTATTTATTTTCCTCTCTTTATTCCTCTGAAGGTTCGAGTTTTCACCTTTTCTGTGGGTCAGCACAACTATGATGTCACACCTTTACAGTGGATCGCATGCACCAATAAAGGTGAGCTGAATTGTCTGTGATTTATTCAATTTATTTCCTATATCACACACTGTAGAGCGGTGGGCTTCAGCCTTTTTTGTCTGATGCACTCTCACAGCTGTTCATTGGTACCATAAGTCATGTCAGTGACTACATTTAAATGCACACTTATATTCCTGACATGATAATATTCAGAATTTAATAGCAGTCATGTAAACAGCATATTCTGCGTGGATTTTCTGAATTAGGCTGCCTTCTGAATTTATCATTTTCAGATGACGTGGGATATGCTGATGTTATTTGAATTTTAGGACCTTTTCTTTTTTTACATGTATGCAGCACATTCTGAATATGTGTCTCAACTGTGGTTTTTACTGCAGTTTGCAACACACAGCCTCTTGTCTGTTTACGGTCAGCATTGTGCATTGTCATAGATATGTTATATACAAGCAACTCCCCAACAGTTTGCACGGCAGTTGTAAAGATGCATGTCCAAAAGAAAAGCCCACATTTCTGGTCTGAAGGAGAAAGACTTGGATATTAACAGGTTTCTTGATAGGCATAAATATTGCAACGCCGACCTTTTCAAGAAGGTGGTTGAAGGAATTAAAGAGGAGGGCTGTGCTCGCATGGTTTGGCAAGTCTGCCATCCTGTCATGATGCAAAGAAGCAAAACAGCACAAGGAACTACAGCTGTTCCACTTCTCCATATTTTGATGTGATAGCTAACATGTATTGGCACATTAAGCAGAGTATGCACAGCTGCATATAAACAGGAGTATTAGTAGGATACTCATTTTCATTAGCCATATAAGCAGCTTTACAGGAATATTGTCTTTTTTGGAATAATATATTGTGCATGTAAATGTAGTCAGTGTTTAAATTGCTTTGGTTTGCATTTGTAGGTCTTGTTTTAATTTAAGGACAGAAGCTGGACATTTCAGCCAATTATCTATTACTTTAAGCTAAGTCATTACTTTTAACCTTTTCACCACTTATCTAATAGTTTTACCTAAATTTTGGTCAACTTTGGGCATCCTACTGGTTATTGAATTTACTTATAAGTACTCACTGCAGAAGATTAATAAAATCTTCTGCAAAATGGAGTCGTCACATGTTATAAAGAATTGATACCATAGTTAAAAAAACAGCACAGTTACAACCGAAGTTAAGACTACAGTCTGTAGTTGACTTGCAATACTGCACAATGGGAATAAAAGCTTATTATAGAGTTCTTACTTTTTTTCCTGTGTCCAAACAGGATTGTTGTAACAGTGAAACACTGACTGACTGACTGAGCATTTTACTGCATATCGAGTACTTTTATTTTCAGTTCTTACAGTAATTTCAATGATAATTTTTACATGCTTTTACTTAAATGAGGTCTGGAATGCAGGACCACTGTTTGTAGTGGAGTATTTTTAAGATGTGAACACTTTTTATGCTCACTGCTACAGCTATATAGGCCTGGACCCGTTTTTATTGGCTAAAGAATATTAGTTGCCATGTTATTTCATACAAGGAATTTGGGGACATTGCTTTCCATCCGACTGGGTCTACTGCCATACTGTTAATGAGGAGGCAGTTATGTGAGCTAACCTGCACTAAATACTTAAGTTGTTCACATTCAACAAAACTCAATAATGTTGTATACTCGAGTTTAGTCTGTCGATTTCTTTTGCTGCAGTCATAGTATTATTTTCTTTTCTTATAGAGGTATAAAAAAGATCTTAAAATTTGATATATTTATACTTAAAATGTGCAGAAACCTTGATTGTTAAAAGTTGGACATTAAAACTTTTGTTCCTAATGGCTGTGCTGTCCTACATCAACAGTAAATTGATCACATCAACTTTTATTCAAGCATATATATCTTAAAATGCATTGCTATAGTCGCCCCACTCAGTCTGTACTTAAGGAGAGTTGTCTGCTGTATATTTATTAATCAATGCCGAGACAGAGGAACAAATAAATAAATGACTGAGTCTAATGTACAGCACAGTGCACTGACCAGACTAATGGGCCTTCCTGTCAGATCTGTGAGCAGACCAGAGTTGGTGTTTGCTCACGCAGAGGTCACTTTTGCTCGTGTAGATCAGAGTTGCTCGCAGCCGAGAGCTGACAGTGATTGTCCCGGGAGAACTCATGTTCGTGAGGGTGGTTTCTTGCTCGTGCAGAGATGGTGACTTAATGGCACTCAGAATACTTGTGCACAAGAGTTGGCTTTTGTTCATGCAGAGCTGTTTCCTTTTTAGTGCAGGTTATTTTTTTATTCTGATGTAATAGCCTGGATTTAAACAGAGGGAGAACAAGATGTATCTGTGTATGAGTTGATGTAACACAAAATGGTCATCATGATTATCTCCACTGAATTATACGAGGTCTCTGTGAGGCACTTTGTAAAACTGTCGTATGAAAAGTGCCATATAAATAAAGTTGATTTGATTTGATTGTGTTTTTACCTCTTAGAGCAAGATCATGTTAGGCAGTGAAGATGACCCTAGTATTCATCAGTGTTGTATGGACAGACCACTGGAGTTGCATTAGATGAATTCACTTATTATTAATCCAAAGAAGACACAAGAAATAATTATCGGTCTTCCAGTGAACTCATATCCTCCATCAGTTAATGTCCATTACACACAGATTGAACAATTTTCCCCGTATCAATATTTGGGCATTTGTGTGGACGCTGCTTTATCCTGGAGTGCACATATAGATTTTATTTGTAGCAGATACAACAATGCATTTACTTTCTCAGGAGACTGAGGTCATGGGGAGCAAATAAACAAATCCTATTATTGCTTTTCCAATATATAATTAAGAGTGTTATGCAGTATGGAATCAGTGCATGGTTCATTTGTCTCTCTGTTCGTCTTAAAGCTAGACTGCTACAGATCTGCTCAAAGATTGTGAGTCAAATGCTTGAGTCACATTTCCAAACTGCGATTACTAAAATATTATTGACTCCGGCAAGTAATATTACGTCTGATCTCTTTGTTATTTGAACAATATCAGCCTTTGCCATCACATAGGCAAGACTGATTAGGTTGTGCAACTCTTTTTCACCTCAGTCTGCCAACCTATTAAATCAGAGTATGGGTTCTGAGTAGCCTCAGTGTACCTGGGCCCAGCATTGTGATGTTGCGTCGACAACAACAGTTACTTCCAGGTAGACAAATGGCAGTCGGAGAGATATGTGAAATCAGCAAACCTGTTTGTTTCTGCTGTCATCTAAAGCCACAGCTATAACATTTATAGATATATAGTCAAACACTGAGGTCTTACTTCTCTGACACTTATGCTGTGCTTGTCCTCTGCACTGTGTTGTTTTGCTAGCATCTCTGATAAACTAAATTTGCAGCCACGGAAGCTATGTTATGTGCTGCTGTGGATGGGGGTCGCTGCAAAACATATTAAGCTACCCCAAAAAAATCCATATCCATTCAAGTGTAGCCTATATTTGGAATATTTTCACTGCTTTACCCTTTCACACTACCTAACTGAGGCAGCAATAGACCAGCAAATACAGTTTGGCAAAGTACAATTACTGTTTTTGTCAGTGGAGTATGGTAAAGCTGTGAAAATATTCTTAATATAGCATATATCTTTTAGGTGAGCTTTTTTTAGGCTTCGAAAAACTAATCAGTTGAGACAGTGTTTGCTCAGCAGCCCTTCATTTTATGTACGTGATGCAGGGTTTTCCACCCGGAAGTTATTGTAAACAAACATCTGGTGTATATGGAATTATTAATTTGTTGCATCCACTTTTTGTTATGTCTGATGTAATTTGTAGTGTTTGTAGTGGTTTTTTTTTTGTTTTTTTTGTTCGGTTAAATGTTGTTTTGTATTTTTGTATTTATGTGAAATATTTGACGTCCTGTGACTCAAATCGAACTCAAGAAATTTTTCTTACAATAAAATAAAATTAAGTAAACAATGAACTTTACAGCCACATGTACTCCACATATTGTGAATAATGTGATTTTATGAAGTGTATAAATCACACATTCTGTGTTACTGATCATTGAATATTATAGTATAGTATTTAGCACCTTATGAGACCAAACCTATTAAATCTAGTATACATATTAATAGTTGTTTATTTAAAAAATAATTATTTAAATTTTTTAGTTAATTAATCTATTTGTCATTGTCAATTAACATGTAATTGATCTGCTAGTATTTTCATAACTGAGAAATTAAAAACATTTTTTCACAAAATTGCAAAACATTACCAAGCCCCAGTTTATTGATTGTGTGTTAACTGAATATTTTTGGATTTTAGACTGTTGGTTGGACAAAAAATGACACTTGAATACATTTTTGACATTTTATAGCATAATTTATATTACATAATGAAAACAGTAATTGAGAAAATATTTAGTAGATATTTTTAAAATGAATACAATCATTATTTGAAGCTCTGTTGCAGCAAAGCATGATGGGAAACAAGGTTTTTTTATTTTAAAAAGGAAACTCATACAGAAATAGTTTCTCTATGAAGCAGCTTCAGATAGAAATGAGGTTTCAGGTTCAACAGGAGCTTTTATTTTGGACTTTCAGGTGATTTAATGGTTTCGACTGAACTGTACAAACAGACACATCAGTTTTAAAGCTCGGCGGTGTTCGTCTCTAAGCTTCCTATCTGTGGGAGTTAAGTGGCTGAGTCACTGGTCTAGTAACATCTAGTAAAATCTGGAATATTTATGAGCTCCACTTGTATTTTTTTCTGATACCATTGCTCACACACACACTCTCTCTCCCTCTCTCTCTCTCTCTCTGTGTTTGTCTTTTTTTCTCTGTCACTTGCCAGGTTACTATTTTGAGATCCGTTCCATCTGTGCTATAAGGATTAACACCCAGGTGGGTTTGTCTAGTGCCTCTGACACAGCTGATCCCCGCTCACTGTTTCAAATTCTCCTTGTGGAGCTCACTCACTCTCTGGAAATGTCTACCTCCATTTGTTTGCACACCCATTCTCCCCGTGGCCTGATGTTGTTGGTTGTTTTGCCGCTGCAGCCGGTCACGTATCTCTTTTGTTTTGTCAGGAGTACCTCGACGTGCTGGGGCGCCCCATGGTGCTGGCAGGCAGCGATGCCAAGCAGGTTCAGTGGACCAATGTGTATCAGGATGCTTTGGTGAGACTGCATGACCTCGTCGGCCGTATGTGATTAAATATAGTAAATGCACCAAACATGCATTAAATACACATTGAAATAAACAAGCTCATAATTTACATGATTTGGGACTTTGTCTTTGGACTCTGTAGGGTCTTGGCATGGTAGTCACTGGGACTTTGCCTGTGTTTAATCTCACCATGGATGGAAACTCACAGGTAACAAAGCTGGTTATTATATGACAGTGTCATTACGTTTGCACGTTGCAAATTATGGTCATTCTTCTTTTCATTTTTTTAAAGACAGAATTTAACTCTGTTGTTTTATATCATGGAAATGACCACTTTTAAAGGACTAGTTTGACATTTTGGGAAACATGTTTATTTGCTTTATTACCAAGAGTTAGATGAGGTGATCGATACCATTCTCATGACTGTACAGTAAATATGAATTTAGTGTTAGAAGCACAGAAATGAACATCCGCATTCAAATCAACATAGCAGGATCATCAGAGCAGCTGCCATTTTTTTATGTGTACTCTTCCCACTGCAACCTTTGTAGCAGGCTGACTTCTGTCTAAACAAACCGATGTGCAGCAAGTTACAAACACACCGAGGTGAGGTTTTGCAGTAGCAACCAAACAAGCACTGGAGTGGTGATGTTATGTTGTCAAATAAGCATCTACTACCCTGTTTCTTTTGGTGCCATTAATTATTATGTTTGTTAAAACATGATGTACTGAAGCTGCCTCCAGAGAGTAGTGAGAGCTGCTGCTCAGTGGACAGCTGCTCAGCCTGCAGCTAGGGGCATAACGTCAGGGAGACTGTGGGGATAACCAGCATGTAGAGTTTCCATACTGTTCTTCATCAGACTCTGTGAATTAAGGGTTTATTTTGACCAAACCAGTGATGGTTACTGTTGAAACAGTGGAGTAACTAACTAGATGACTATCAAGACCAACTGAGAGCCTTTTGGTGGGTTTTATTTTAAGTGTGTTTGACAGAAAATCTTGGTTTGGTGTCGGTTGTATTTTTCTGTCTAATAAGGAAAATAAAAATAGGCAAAACTAGTAACTAATAACAATCATCATTCTAGTTTGTACCAGTCAAATGATAATGAAAAAGGTTCAAGTTCCTTTCTACTTGTTGTATTTCTATGGTTAGAAGAGGGTTAGCTTAGCTTAACAAAGACTGGAAGCAGAGGGACTTTGCTAGCCTGGCTCTGTCCTAAGGTAGCAAAATCTGCCTACCAGCATTTTTACAGCTTATGACAGCATAAATTGTAGGTTAAAAAAAATTAAAATGGAGCGGTGCAGGAATTTCCAAGATTAAGGCCGTAAATTTCCGAGAAAAAAACTTGGACACTCTCCGACGTTAAAGTGAAACAAACTTACATTCTCCAAGACTGAAGTCGTAAATTTACGAGAAAAAACTTACAAGTGGCGTAGTGTAAACAGTGACAAGTCCATTATTCTTATTCTTATGTTGGAAGGAAGGCGTGATGGATGAATGGGTCACCTCTTCTCTTGGGGCTGCAGTGATTCACAGTTGTTTAAAAACCTGTGTTATGACTATTGCACTATCAATGACTGCTTGACCCATTCATCCTCCACAACTTCCTCCCTACATGAACCAGGTCCATCGTTATACTAAGTCATCGGGTTTTCTGGTAGTAAATTTGTGATTTTTTTTTTACTTGTAAATTTACCACTTAACTCTCACAAATTGTGAATTTTTCCTTGGAAAATTACTTTCCTGCCCCAGCTCCATACTTTTTTTCTTACCTTTAATGGCTCTGATACGCTGTTGTAAAATCTCAGTATTGAACAAGTTGTGTCTCATTTTGGCTAATCAGCGCAAAAACTGAAATTTAAAGGCCCAGACAAAAAAAAGATTTCAAAGAACTATCAGCAACGAAAGCCGACTGTTGAGCACACTGCAAAGACTACAGCCAATGGCCACCCAGCATGTATAAAATAACTCTCCACACTAGCAGACATCAGTAGTCTGTATTGCTAAAGAGCGCCATGTTTAAAAAAAAAAATCTTACCTTATGTAACAAGTTTGTTTTGGTCTCACTCCCTCTCGATTTTAGCTGATTGTTTACTTTCCTCACTTCCATTTCTCTTCTTGTGCTCTGAGCTGAGCTGCTAGTCAGAGTGATTTCATTCACCAATGATCTCTGTCATTGCTGACACCAGTTCAACATGCTGAATCAGCCCCAAAAAAAAAGAAGTCAATGAGGGCCAATGGTGCAGGACACACTGCACCAACCATGGCGACGGATGCTCACCAGCAGCCCAACACTGACTGACAGCTGACTGTCTGTGGTGTGTCAGGGCCTTAAATTCAACATGATTTGGTGTAACAGCTGGATATGTACCTTGACTATTTCTTGGCTTGGCGCATTAACTTCTTTGTGCTAAGCTAACCTGCTGCTAGCTCTAGCTACTTATTAACCAGACAGACATGAGAGCGGTATCCGCTGTATCTTCTATATATCATCCAGAGAGCAAATAAGCATTTTTCCCAAAATGTAAAACTATTCCTTTTAACCAGCTGTATGTATTTTGTCTGACCAGAATCAGCTGATATTAGGTGTCATGGGAGTCGACGTGCATCTTGACGAGATAAAGCGACTAACACCACGGTACAATGTATGTGCATCTCATTAGCACCATCATTAGTCACATTTTGTTCTTGTGGTGGAGAGGACAGACTAACACACTGCTATTTCTTGCTTTTATCATTAACAGCTTGGAGCAAATGGGTACATATTTGCCATCGACCCAAATGGATATCTTCTGCTTCACCCTAATCTTCTGCCAAAGGTGGTGTATATTTAACTTCCCTAATAGACTATTTTACTGCACGTTGAAGGGAAGAGGAGGTATATAGAGAATACAGGCCCCTTGGGGTTTAAAATGTTGATTGTTTATATATGTAGTTTAGATAAGTATGATGCTGATTTGCCTGCTCTGCATGTGATGTTAATGTAAATGGATTTTTCTCATTCGACTCCTCTCAGCTGGTGAACCTGCCAGAGCCTGTGACGCTGGACTTCCTGGATGCAGAGGTGGAGGACAACAATAAAGAAGAGGTGAGCAAGTAGTACCAAGTAAGAATGAAAAGTTTCTAGTTTTAGGCCTTGTTGTTGTTGTTTGAAATTATTACTGGGCTAGTGAACAACATTATCTGCCTCAGGATTACCTGCCGAATGGGTAACTGAAGGCCCCACGTACAGTAACATGTTTTCATAATGTTTCTGTACTGAAAAAAAAAAGGTTTGTTTTTTCATTTTCTAGATCCGGCGACAAATGATTGATGGAAGACCAGGTGAAATGCAGATCAAAACTCTCATCAAGTCGATTGATGAGGCAAGTAAAATCTCTCTCTGAAGAGCTTCACATATTTCAGCTCTTTAATCTGAATGTAGCTGCCATGTACTGTAGAGCTCACATATTTATGATCAGCTCTAATCTGGAGTATGATGAATATGTTTAAAGAACATTATGTATCTGTTTTACAACCTGTTTCTTATTTGAACTATACATTTGGTTACCATTAAATTTTACTGATTGGTTTTTATTGTAGGTCCTTTTTTGACTGTAGCTTGGCTGCTAAAAAGTGGCAGGTTTGGATAGGCTGTCTTGTGTTGTTGAAAGGGATGGTTCAGATTTTTTTAAAAATGGTGTTATATGAGGTACTTAACTATAGTCAGTGTATTACATACAGTAGATAGCAGTCTGCATGCCCCCAATTTGGAGAAGCAGACAGGATAACTGCCACGAAAGCTAAGCAATGTACTGCTGTGGATGGAAGCAGCAGCAAAATGTATTTAGGCACATAAAAAAAGGCCTACCAAAAAAATCTATTTCGATTTTGTTCTAATTGATAATTTCCGATGTTCATTATGTATTTATTTCCAAGTAAGTAAAGTGTAAGTAAAGAACTTTTTAAAGGCCCAAATTGTATTTTTGCCCTATATAGTGTTTTTGACCACATACAACATACCACATTGAATCTGAGTAAATTTCATATTTGATTTTTTTTTTAGTTAAACTGTTATCATCTTTTTGAAAAATATCCATTTAGGAGCAGCTCTTTGTACTGATTTTAGCTGGAAAATAATAATAATAATAATAAACTTTATTTATATAGGACTTTTCAAAACAAAGCTACACAGTGCTTTACAAAAATGAAAAACAATAGACAATAATAAAAAAAATAAAAGCAGTTTAAAAGTTATACAACATGGGAAATGGACCTACACATGAGAGAGTAAGATAAGTAAAATGATAAAACAATCAATAATATACAAGTTAAGAGAATGGCTTTGTACTTTAAGAGGCTTTAAGAAGTGACTTACAGATAAAAGTGAGCTCAGGCCATAAACTCTGTGAAAGCACATTTTTAAAACTGTGTTTTTAAGAGGGATTTAAAAGAGGATCAGGAACTCGCCAGTCTGATCTCCTCAGGGAGGTTGTTCCAGAGAGTGGGGGCCCGATCAGATAAGGTCCTTGGTTTTCAGCCTAGATTGCTGAATGGCCAGCAGAGGCTTGGCTGAAGACCTCAGGTTACAACCATGCATATACTCAGAAACTCAGAAGATCTGAGATGTGCTTAGGTGCAAGTCCAAAGCGGGCCTTAAAGGTTATCTAATATCTTAAAATCGATTGTAAAATTTACTGGAAGCCAGTGAAGAGAAGCTAAAATATGTGCTCTCTTGTTTTGGTTTCAGTGAGGAGTCTGGCTGCTGAATTTTGGACAAGCTGTAATTAGTGTAAACTCTGTTGACTCAGACATGTGCACAGAGTTACAGTCGTCCAAACGAGAGTAAATAAAAGCCAAATGACAGTTTCTAGAGTTTTACGAGATCAAATTGAACTCATCTTAGAGAGGCTCTTGAGCTGCAGAAAACAAGACTGGACAACTGTGTTAACATCCTTGTTTAAGCTAAGGTTATTATCAAAGATGACGCCAAGTTGCAGGCTATACTTTTCTTGACCTGCTTGCTTTCACGTTAACAAAAAATATTGGTATAAGAAATTTGTAACAGTGTCAGAAGACATTAATTTTTTCTGATGTTGTCTGGTGTTAGCCCCTGTATTAAAGTATTCATAACATATTCCTGTCATAAGTCGAATTTTCATGTTTAGGCCTTTGAATTAAGCTCCCTGAGGATTGTATTCTGAGTAAACTGTTACATCCTCAGGTCCAAACACCTCACAAAAACCATATTTCACACATTACATAAAGTAAAAGCAGGAAACTGTAGCTCGTTTGCTTTAGTTGACTGAAGTGTCCTCAAATGTCTCCTCTACTGTAGCAATACATCGATGAGGTGTACAGGAGCTACACCTGGACTCCTATCAACGGCACAGATTACAGGTGAGCAGCTACAATGTTGTGAATCAAAAATAACAACCAACCAGCTGTAGCCTGACGAGAACTGCTCACACAGATGGATTCACTCTCCCTTCCTCTCCTTTCATTCATCTGTCTCCCTGTTGGGCTGCTGCCACCTGCAGTCTCGGCCTGGTACTACCACCCTACAATGAGTTCTACATCCAGGCAGACCTGAGTGATGTGATGCTGCAGCTCCAGTGTGAGTACAGAGAGGCAGAGCTTTCAAGGTCCTGTGTTTATTAAGATTCAGAGATAAGATGAAAAAGCTAACATCACTGCCTCTTGTTACAGATATGCAGTCGCTGCTGCCCAGCTCCTTTGAATCCTCAGGACATGTGTTTCTGGCTCCAAGGTGACTACCATCTCTCCTCCCCCTCGTGTTTTCACTCTTTCTCTGTCTGTTAGTAAAAGGAAAAGTCTGATTAATTCTGACCTCTGTTTCTCCAGGGAATACTGCAAACGTCTGCATCTGTCTGACAACAACACCCAGTTTTTGCAGAACTTCCTCTCCCTCATGTTGGACATTTCCCCAGAATCTGATGAGTGTGAGTGTGTTAACAGCAAACTGTAGTTTACAGTATTTGCCACTGCTGCAGATACACACATGAGGCAATATTCTTCAATCGGGAGAGACAGGTGAATGAAGAGAATACAATAGTTTAATACAGATTACGAGTGAACACATTAACAGATAATGATGATCAAGATGTGTGTGAAAGTCTTTGGCATTTAGACTCTACAGGTAGATTTTGTAATCAATGAGTGTCTGTCCTGAGCAGCAGCAAGATAAATCCCCCCGTGGTGTCCAGACACAGGTGGAGGTGGTTGATGACTCTGCTGAGACTGATGAGGTTGATGAAGGTGATGGATTTGTGAAGACGAGGCAGTGGTGGGGAGGTGGAGGGTGCGCCAACCTGCAGCATGAACATACTAAAGGCACACAGAGATTCAAATTTATAACAAGAGGGAGCAAGATGATAGGCTGACAATGAAGGTGTAAGGGTTGATAGTTAACCTTATCCTCCACCTGCCACTGCGGCTGATTGATTCACCAGCCACTCAATAGATTACAGTTGTTTTTTTGGCTGGTGAGTAAAGAAAATCTGGCAGCCACTTGACTATTTTACCTGCATTTGGCTGGTGGCAGGTGCTAATTTCTAACTGTGGAAGGTGTGCTGCTATGTGATTGGTCAGATGTGATCAGCTGACAGAACAGCTGATATCTTAATTGACAATGAAAGCAAGGAATTAGGAGCGAGCATGCGTGCGAGAAGTGAATGACAGAGTGTGAGAAATAAATTAGAGGCCTAAACATGCAACAATATAGTCTTCCTAACTGAACTTTTGCCAGAAATTAATTTGTTTTTTTGTTTTTTGTTTGTTTGTTTGTTTTATCTCAGGTGACCAAGGCCTCATCCATAACCTAATTTTGGATTCCAGGATTATCGGGCAGCTGGCTTCTCGTGTTTGGAAGAACAAGGACCTGAATGCGTGAGTCAGCTTGTTTGCTGCTTTTCACACCATCCACCATGGTGAAGACTTTATTTCATAGAAAGACACTTTGTGCAAATTAACATCAATCTGCTTCAGAGTGTCAGAGTTAAAACAAACTGAGCTGGCTAAGTAAAAACTGTTTTTACAGGTACGGCTTCCTGGCTGTGTTTGCGTCCACCGATGGAGGAATAACACGGGTTTTTCCCAACGTGTGAGTAAGATTAATGTACTTACTGAAGCAGATAATTACACCTATTTGGTAACACTTATAATAACCATCATTAATAATTGTTATTATAATTATACCATTTATATGTTGATATAGAAACTGAAATGATTAAACTTTAGTTAACAGTTATTTTACTGTTAACAAACAATGAAATATTAACTAATAATGTTTACTAATTATCAGTAATACCATAATTTATGGTCATTTAACAGTTTATTGTTGTACACTTTATAACATTTTATATACTATATTAAGTAATATTTCGTTTTTAAACAATCTGTAAATATTTAGATGCCGTAATAAAGTTAAAGTAATTGATGATTATAATACCATGTTAAATGATCAATTGATTACGTGTACTGCAGCTATAAACATTGCAGCTTTATAATGACAACCAAATAATATTTATAGATAAATTACACAGTATTTATTTACCATTTAACAACAATGTGTTGTAATCATCAGTTACAGCTTAATAAGAGTCATCTAATAATGATTAATCTCACATATACTCTGTTTATAAACTGTTTGTTAAATGGTTTGTGTTGTGTCTGTGCAGAGCTGCTGATCTTTGGGATGAGGATCCTGAACCCTTCAATTCAAATTACTACAGACGGAGTCTTGACAACAAAGGCTACATGTTCAGAGCTCCATCGAGATCCTGTGAGTAACTGTGACAACACATTTTAAAGTAGCTTCAGTCAAGATATTTACAATAACAATGGATCAAATGACTGTGTGTATATGTGAGAGGGGTCACTCATAGTGATCAACATGCAGAGAGTTATCACTCATCTCTGCAGTTAGCTTAAAGGGACAGTTGGCAGTGATACGGGTGGCGGATTTAATTCAGTAGACAGAAAATAGTTCCTACATGAAGCTGCCCACAACAAGGTCTGTGGATTATCTTGAGTAACAGGGTCATGATTTCTGGAAAGAGACATTGCTGTTGACAAGCAAGTTAGGTTACCTGGTGCCTCTAAATTGTCCGTAGGTGTGAGTGGGAGTGTGAATGGTTGTCTGTCTCTATGTGTCAGCCCTGTGATAGTCTGGCGACCTGTCCAGGGTGTACCCTGCCTCTCACCCAGTGTCGGCTGGGATAGGCTCCAGCCCCCTGCAACCCCTAACAAGATAAGCAGTTACTGAAAATCAATGAGTGAATAAAGCATTATAGGATCTTTCAGCTCATTGTTTTGGTTTTACAAACCACTTTACCACTAACTTTACTTTTTGTCTCAAACTCACAGCATCGTTTTTGGTTGCAGCAGGCAAAAAAGCTCTGAAAACACACTGTACACTACTTGTTTAGTGAAGATGAAACAGAACTGAAAGAGAGTAAATATTGAACTTACGCTCATCAGGTGACCAGGAACACGACTCCAAATAAATAATGGTGTTGCTGTGTAACTGCTAAATGTGTAACTAAGCAACTGTGTGCTAACAAGCTCACCGGATCAGCTGTAATGATAGGTCAATATTGTGTCACAACGTGTTTCTGCTGCCACCAAGTGGCCAAAAAAACCCAAACAAAATCACGCACAACAGCTTAAAGTGCGACACCTCAGGTTCATCGACTGTGACCTAACTGTAAATGATCAGTGATCATTTTAACAAGCTTGAGTCATGATGAAAAAATAATCTCACAGTTTTAATCAGCAAACTGTTTTAGGTGTCATCACAGCTGTGGGACTGAGAGAGAGGTTACGATTGTGAAAAGATAGCAATCACACATGTGTGACATCAGACTGTGACATCACCTCAGTTGGTTTGTTTTTTTTTGTTGTTGTTTTTTTTTCTTTTGTTTGTGAACAGCGTTGGATGACCCTGTAGGTGCAGAAAACGGCACTGCTGGAATTCTGGTTAGTTCAGCTGTGGAGGTGAATCTGGGAGGCAAACTGCTCAAACCGTCAGGTAAGAAAAATACTTTAATGTGGCAAACTTAAATGTGGCATCATGTGGGATTCCCAGGAATGTTTTTTTGATCTAAAATACTTATTTCAGATATTTCAGCTAACTCTGTTTGGTTCTCTTCTCACCAAATCACTTCATCTTGTCTTCTTCCTCCGCTCTCTGCTCTGATCCTGTGGATGTTGTCACTTAGTGGTCGGAGTGAAGCTGGACCTGGAGGCGTGGGTGGACAAGTTTAAGATCCTGGCCAGCAATGTGTCAGACAGTCGACAGGGCTCACACAAGGTACAGCATGGTGCCACTTATTACTAATAGTCAGCAATTATTTAATTAAACTTCATTTACTGTAACAAAAGTGACATCATTGTCTCATTACATTCTTTGTTACAACAGTGTGGACCATCCAGGAGCTGTGAGATGGACTGTGAAGTGAACACTGACGTAAGAATAATTTCTGTTTTATTCTTTTTTATTCAGAGATTAAATTTTCTCTCAAAGGCACTAAAATAGCGCTGCTAACCAACAGAGGCTGGTAGCAATTGAAGCGACAAAACCCAAAACCTGAAGCAGGTAAGCAGGATGTGAAATAATCTCACATGAATCTAGTTGTAGTCGTACAAAGAGTGACCCCGCAAGATCCCCTTGTCTTTAGATGTCAGCAGATGTCAGACTTTAGTCTTTTAAAAGCATTTTTTAAGTCTTCCAGTGTTTGGTCGGCATTATTCTGTTTTGACATTTAATTAGTAGAAAATTGGAGCAAGTGCACAGAAATCTCTTTGTATCATATAAATGGGCTTTCTTTGAATAGGGATGCATGATATTGGATTGTTACAGGCATTAGATATACTGACATTATCCAACTCATTTTGGGTGATTGCAGATGCAGCTACTGATATAAGCATCTATTTTTCTGCAGAGAACATTAAGACTGTCCTGTAGTGGCATTCCCTTGTTATTATGCCTGCTGTTCGTGATGGGCCACTGGTAGATGCAGACATAAAATACAATGCTTTTCAAAATATACACATTTACTGGTAAAAATAAGAAACCCTAATCCAACGTAGGTTACATGTAAAGTATGCCATATTTATTTTAATGTAACAGTTTCAAATAACATTCACACTTTAACAGGCTCGGATGATGCTCTCCCTGAGACAGTCTTGACAGGGCAAATCTGACCTATGTCAACTAATTAAAGTCACAGTATTAAAGCATTTATCAGCTTGTTATGTCGAGAGAAATTTTCATTTTTTGCCAATACCAATGTCTTTTTAAAGCCGTTATCTGCGGATACTAATGACGGGCCGATATTATCGTGCATCCCTAGCTCTGACAGTGGAGTCTGATATGTTTGATTTTAATGACTCATGAGAGAAATGTTTTTTTGCAGTTTAATATATTTTTATGTAGAAAAAATTTGGGTATTTTTATCATGCATGGAGACATGCTTGGTTTTTAGCTTTTCACACTTGCCTGAAGGTTTTTTAGAGTCTGCTGTCTCCTCTTATAAAGTCAAGACAACCTGTATCTTGAGATTTAGTAAAAAGTTACCTGTATCGTGTCGTCTGTAGGACCTCCTCTGCTATCTCATTGATGATGGCGGGTTCCTGGTTATGTCCAATCAGAGAGATCACTGGAAAAAGGTACGTCTTTGTGTGGTCATGTGCTACTCTTATAGTAGTATAACTTGAAATGTCTATTTCTAAGAAGAAAGTTTGCATTTAGGCATGTATGTCTTTCTACTTCATATTTTGAAAGTGATGCAGAACTAAAAATATAAAATTCTAAGTCATGTTTTGTAAGCAGATGTGAATTTCTGAGGTTTTGTTTGGTTGTTTGTGTGTTTTACATCATATTTTGTGTGTTTCAAAAGTAGTTTTTGCCACAGGATCATTAATAAGTGGTGTATGCTTCTCTGGAGAAAAATATTTCCCAACACTTAAGGTTGGTGGTTTGGTCCAACTCCCAACCCAAAGCGTCGCTATTTGACGACCTGGGAATGAGACTCAACAATCAACTATCTTTCTCCAGAGAAACATAAAGCACTTTAATAATTAAAGGTACAATCAGCAATCCTGGAGAAAGATTGATGATATTTAAACTCAGCACCCACACAAATACACCCCTCTGTCTCGCTCCCACTTCCTTTCTCTTTACAAATCCATTGCCTTTCCCTAGTCCTGCGCACGAGTATAAACACCTTCTGCTGTTTACTGACCAGAATAGTGTTGTGTGGCCAAGTCTGAGCCACGTTGTTTGTTTGTTTCCTATTTATAGAAGCATAGCTGAGAGCTAGCGGACCATGAGGAGATAGGCTACTGGCTGAATTTGGCAAAAAGTGAACTGTCTTAGAATCGCAGACTGCACCTTTTACTCAAGTATTTTTCTCAAGTCATCCCAATGTCCAGTTCAGTTCAGCTCAGCTCAGCTCACACCGCAGGGCCAAAGAAATGTAACAAAATGAAATCAAGAAGAAATAAACAAGTGGAAAAGATGATTTCCTCTCTGTAACTTTCTTTTCTTTCTTTCGTCCATCACAGATCGGCCTTTTCTTTGGTGATGTCGACCCGTACCTGATGCATGCACTCTACAACAACTCAATCTTCACTCGCCGTCAGTCTTTCCACTACCAGTCTGCATGTGAACCCATCAGCAGCAGCCATACTGGTGCAGCACCCAGGGGCATCTTTGTGGTAAGAGACCACCTGCAGATTTTAGATTCTGGGACGTTTTATAATGTTTTGGTGGAAACCTTTTATCTATAACGACTCTGTGTATCTGCAGCCGTCCATTGCTGACATCCTCAGTGTGGCGTGGTGGACTTCGACGGTGGCATGGTGAGACTTTGTTTTCTACAGTCCAGTTTCTTAAGTCCAATGACACCAAGAGCATGTGAGGTGACCTTTGAAACAATTCAAACTGTGTACAGACTCCTGCACATGAAGCCAGGGTGCTTAATTTTAGACTTGTGTTGCTGTAGCTGTGACATGTGTCAACTGATATTTATTGATGTTCACAGATTGTATTTCATTATCCAATAAAGTGCAATGTGAACACTGTTTCAGGTCTGTGATGCAGCAGCTCCTGTACAGCCTGGCCTACAACAGCTGGCTCTACCAAGGTGAATCTGTGCATCTTAACAATATCTTTGTGTGCGACATGAGTATCTGCGTGAATAATGGATCCAGGAATTTTTAAGGCTCATTATGTTTCTGTTTTTATGTTAAAAATTATACAAATTAGATGAAGTAGCAGCACAAGCAGCTCATTTGCATTTTGTCCTTATTTTCTGGCCCAAACTTCTGTTAACATAAACACATTCTGAGATGACCCCATTAAAAGGGGAGTTTGTTAACAATGAAATGAGGTCTTGCACCTCAGCACCCAGAAACAACATTTAGATGAATGTGTACATAAACTCTGTGTGAGAATCATTTTAAATCAGTTTTATGAATTAATAAACATTATATAAAATGTTAAATTTGGATGTGTTTGTGCTCTAGATGAACTCCTGGTTGACGCTTTCGAGACGAGGGAGAGCAGCTGTGTGACCATCCAGAGCCAGTTCTACTTCACAAACACCACCAACTCCTACAACGTGCTGCAGGACTGTGGAAACTGCTCACGGTGCGTTTTTTTTTTTTTTTTTCCTTCTTTTTTTCTGAAGCATCAGCAGAATGTGTTTGTGCTCTCATACCTGTACTGTACATCGTGTATGAAGCTGGCTGAAATATCCATCACTGTCTCCCACAGGCTGTTCCACGCCAAGAGAATAGAAAACACCAACCTCCTGTTTGTGGTCGCTGAGACGCTCCCCTGCAGCTCCTGTGAGATAGAGAGGTTGACGCAGATCAGGACAGAGTGTATCCTTTTCACGCTCGCACACTCTGCCGTGCTTTTATTTGTGCTGCAGGTGAAAATCTCATTAATCGTGCACGGCAGGTGAGTTCACTGTTTCCTCCCTTAACTGAAAGCAAACAGTTCAGGAGGAGAATCCATGCGAAGTACTGAGCAACGCGCGATATCGTAAAGGCCCGACATCCTGCTTTGACTACAGTGCCTTAGTAAGTAGATACACTATAAGTATGGCGTTTGTGCCTCAGTGTGCGATGGAACATTCTGAGCACAGAAAAACATTTTTGTAAGCACAGAAATTATATTTTGTAGAAAAGCTATCACTCAAAGAATAATTTTATTTTTAACTAACTAAAATGTGCCTTCTCTGAGTTGCTGCTTTGTGCACTTAAGCAGGATTTATACTTGTGTATCAGCTCTATGCAGACTCTACGCCGTAGTCTATACACGTGGCCTATGCTGTTGTGAGCATTTATACTTGTTTGGTGGTGTCTGTGTCAGTCTGCAGTTACACTTCCAAAACACTGGTTGGCGGCAGGGTTTCTGTGAAGTGCTGTAAAGTTTAGTTGATTCAAAACACACATTAAACATGGCTTATAGGGACAATTTCAACCTCAGATACACAAATCAGCTTCACCATAACAAGCAGCATTTACAGACAGATCACATGTCTTTTGCTGGACACATTTTCCCCACAAATACAACATGCTAATGCTTTTAGCACAAGCCTATGGCATTTTACATTATAGAAATTAGCCTATCGACAAGTGGAGATTTCCTCTGCTCATATGAAGCCAGGATGAATCCCAACGTATAAATCCCAGAAGACTTAAAATTCTATTTTTGTGGAAGCTTTCTTGTCTTCACAATTTATTGTGTCTTATCCATGAAATTAAAGTAAATAAAAGCTTTGTTTCCACTGAGGGAAATGATTTCAGCTTATATAAATAGACAGGTGGTCTGCGTCGCCACTACATGTAGTTACATTTCTGGGGAGGTGTACGTAGGGTTATGGCGTAGGGTCATCAAACAAACAGTAGTTAACTAAGCTAGCTGACTAACTTCATACGAAAGCATTATAATCAATAATGTAGTTCATTAAAAGAAGAACTTAAACTGCTTAATCAGAGTATGCTACATGTGATTTTTAAAGCAGACTTTAAGGTGGTTAACAGTCATTAGTTATAATAGAATTACATGTATGATCATAACACAGTGTAGCTGGCAATTGTCAAGCCAACTATCTTACTCTGCGACTTCTTATTTGGCAGAATCAAGCTAGCTTTCTAAAAACATAGCTAGGTAAGTAAAGCACAGACTAACTTTCGACTGGAATTTCATAAAGGTAAATTCCCTTCACTCCAAGTAAAGCTGCCATAAAGCTTTATCTGCTTGTTCTTGTATGGTCGAATAGTTTTAGGAACCCACTCTCCCTGTCCGACAATTTCTGTAACTTTGCGAAACTGACAATCTGACATTCAAACCAACTTCACAGCATGATCGGCTGCCCAGAGGCCAGAGTTTGAACTCTTTCTGCTCTTTATTAGCCTTCTTGGTGCAAGTATGTCACTTTTCATGATAACAACAAAACAGTGCAACACCGGGAATTTATGCCAACAGAGACCGGTTGAACATGAGCGATGTTATTCCCATATTTAAAGGGCCAGTGTGTAATATTTGGCATGGTTTATTGTCAATCTGAATCTGAATCTGAATATTCTACCCATTAATATGTTTATATAAGTGTATAATCGCTATAAAATAAAATTTGTTTGGTTTTCGTAGCCTTATAATTATGCTTATATATATATATATATATATATATAGCAAGGGCCTTGCTTTAGAGAGGTCGCCATCTTGTGCCGCCATGTATGTACGGCAGACCGAGCGGACAATCCAGCCAGCCAGAGAACACGTTTCGCGTGTATAAATGAACCAACGAAGACAGCGGAAGGGAGGAAGAAGGAGGAGGAAAAAGCAGAGAGTGTTAGTAGTCCGTCAACAGAGACTAGGGAAAAGTTTTTTTAGTTATAAAGTTTGCGAATGGACCACACTTACCACGCAACAGGAGAGAATGAACCCGAACCGTCATCTGCGAGGAAAAGAAGACGTAACTTCATTCCTTGTGATGCACTCTCTGCGGCGCTTTTCCTCCTGATGATGTATCTCCCCAACAATGGTAGCAGTAGCACCGAATCCCATTCTGTGCATTCAGCCTCTCTTCTCGCCTGCTCAGCATCAAACACATGGAGTTCCTCATCTGTATGCTCCGGCTCAAACAGGTATGGCTCTGGGTCTGTGTCCGCTACAAGAAACTCTTCAAAATCGCGTTCAAAGTCGTCCATTGCAGCTACTATAGTCCGGAGATATTGCTAGGCTAAATAAACAGCTGAGCTCTGTTTACCGGCTACGCTGTCAGTCAGTGTGCGGGCTGGAGGTTGGCGGAGCAGAGAGGGGAGGGGGTCCCCATTCGGTATGGTAAACAAGTATGTGTGTGTGTGTGTGGTGTGTTACGCTAGAAGAGTCAGAGTTTGGGACGGAGTCTTTTACCCCCTGGAGAGTTTTTAGAGTGCTCAAATAAACGTGCCTTTTTCCCGAACGCTCCTCTGGTCTCCTGCTTGTGAGGGATTCATTACAATATCGTAACATGGCTTAGATTTCTAAATAAATATTCACCTCGTCGCTAGATAGACCTACTCCTGAAAAACTCGTGCGCAAGGCTTTTTGTCCCTACGAGGCCACCGTCATTTACCCGACAGGAGGGGTGAGCGAGTGAGCCCTGCAATCTAGAATTTGACCACTGATGTCACTGTTTTCAACCCATTTTACACACTGGCCCTTTAAACAATAGCACACCTGCTATGACAACTAGCTTTTTACTCAGTCTTCTAGTGTCTTATAAACCCTTTTTATTTTGGACAACACATAGTATGAACTACTGGTAGTTCTTTTTTTAGCACAACCCAGATGTCGACAGCCTTTCCTATTAAAAGAGCCATTATTGCAAAAAAAGAAAAAAATCTGTCTGGAGCTGCAAAACATATTGTTAACAGCCTATTAAGTCTGAAGTAGCCCATCAACATTACGAATAGGTCTTAATGAGCATTCATTAATATGATTTACTACAAGGTGGCCACTCTGTAGTGGGCTATTTATAATTATGTAGTACTTTAACTTGAAAGCAAATAAATCTGCCCACACACTATTAAATCCTCTATTTCCTCCAAGACTTTCCCTTTTTTTGGATTTGGAATCCATAGCCAGCCTTGCTAGAGGGACTCTAGGCTAACCATCGCTACTGAGGTTCAGCAAAATTTTGAGGAAAAGGCACAGGGTCGTAGACGTATGACTCACGTTTCAGTTGATGAAACGTTAAAACTTTTTTAATTTGATGTATAGGTCACACATTTGTACAGTTGTAGAATGCAGTAATCACTCTAGGCCTACAACAATGACAAGTGAATATCTGAATGTTAAAAAATAACTGTTATTCTTTTCCATGTAATTTTATGTCAAAGTCACAGGGAGCCAATGGAAAGGGTCTTAAGAGCCACATGTGACTCTGGAGCCACAGCCTGCCTGCCCCTGGCATAACCCAGTGTTAACAGTCATCATACTAGCTGCTACTAGATTGAAGCCTAAACAACTAATCATGAATGATTTACTCCAAAATTTCCTTTTGGCTGTGATTGTGACACACTGCATTATAATAACTTCTCTACAAACTACAATGTATATGCTTGCAAAAACATGTTTCTCTTTTTAAACTGTCCCATTGCACAAGTTAAAACAACTATTAGAATTATCTAAATGTACAAATGTCGAATCATTTGCTTTGGAAAAAGAGGATTTATTGTGAACTCTCATTGCAGGAAAACACGTCAGAGTGTGGACGGGGTCATGCACTGCAGTCCTCCATAGGAGTCCTTCTCTTTATTCAGCTCATTCTTCCTCTTCTTCATCTCTGACACGTGCAAACACTCTAACTGACATCTTTCATCTCTTTGGGTTTAGGCTCGGATCTACTGACTGTCAGATCAAACAGCAACTGCAAAATTCTTCTTTTTTGATCTACAAACGGCACACGGTGCATTTGTGCTTGAAAAAGAAATAACGTGGATCAGCTCTTAGTGTTTTCTGCCTTATCGCTTATGCATTTGTTGGTGTGAGTGCAAAATGTAGGAAGAGAATGTGTCGAGTGTGCATGCTGCTTAAACTAGGACAAGCATGTTTAACATTTTTGCACACGGGCTCAGCCATGTAAGCAAACACTAAAAAGTCAGGGAGGCAGCTGAAATGTACTTTTCAACGGGCCAATAAATGACCCCCCAGCAGGAACAGACGACAGCCCCAGTTTTAGGTTGGACTGTGGCGGTGGAATCATAAAGGATCTAAAAACTCGAAAAAAAAAAAAAGGATTTACTTTGTGTTAAATACACAGCGATGTAAGGAAGTATTCAGATCTTTATTTTAAGTGGAGTTGCTCTAGAAATACCAGTATAAGTCATGCAGTTAAGATTTTACATAAGTAAAAGTAGAGAAGGATTAACTTAAAGTATCAGGTAAAAATACTCCTGTGTTCTCTCACCATATCATGCATTACATTATCAGATAATTATTACTGATGTATTAAGTATGTATTTTAATGTAGCTCATCAAGATGAAGCTATTTTTTAACAGTTTCATCTATAAAAATAATTTTAAATTCCAGCATAGTTTTTTCTGTTTAAGATATTAAATGAAAAATAACCACAGCCGTCACATAAATGTAGTGAAGTAACAAGTACAATATTTCCCTTCATGATATAGTGGGGTTGGAGTATTAAAGGTGCTCTGTGGAGTTTTGGAGAATAGACAAACTGTTGATCGTTTGTCTAGAGTCGTTAAGCATCATGCTTTTGTTTATCTCACTGCAAAGCATTGCTAACATGTCAGTCTTCCTGATGAGATCATGTGACGTGCATTCATGCTCCCTCTGGTACGATAATCTTAAAAATAGCCAGCGGTGTGTGTTGCACCATTATTTTCAAATCATGTAGTGTGTACACGTTCGAGATCAGAGAGAACAGCATCTGTGAAGTGTCTCCCTGTGTGTGAGATGCAACCCAGTTTTTAAAATTGGTTAGGATTTTAAGGGTGCTTTCACACCTGCCCTGTTCAGTTCAGTTCAATCAAACTCAAGGTCGTTTGCCCCCTAACTGCTGCTTGTTTGTGGTGAGAACATGTTCCAAACTCGATCCGAACCAACTGTAGTCACATGACAAGCAAACACTAGGTCTGAAAGCACCCTAAAACTCCTGCTGGCTTTACAAATATTTTGCTCTATAGCGCTACTGTTGGTCAAAAACTCCACAGGCTTCCTTTAGTAGCAGAAAATTACATTATTGATGTAAAGTAAGAGCAACCTCACCACTGTATCCAAGTTTTATACTTAGTTAAGCCCTGGGTTTTTATCTGTGATTGACCAAACACAGCTGTTGACACAACAACTTTGTTGACAGGGTATTCTGAGTTCTTAGAGCTTTCATTGTCACTGTCCAACACCTTGTTTAACAGCTCTGAATATATTTATATGACTAGACAGCTGTAGGGTTAATAGCATCTGTGTGTTTGGAAGGATTCATTAGACGAGGCCCACCTCAGTTTTTAACTAAAGCTCTCCGAGGCATTTACACAACCGACAGTTTTAAATCGAACTGCTGCAGCATGAAAATGTAAATAAACAGACAGAATCTGCTGAGCTCAGACACTGCTGCTGCCGCTGCTGCTTCTGGCAAATTCTGCTTTTGTGGGCTTTTGTGAAATTCAAAATGAATTATCTGCACCAGTTTCATTTGCATGTCCGGTCCTAGCAGTTGTCTTTGCACAAAAATAGAACGTCCTGCACCTGCAGCAGTTTTTACATGACAGTAGATTCGGACCTTAACCTAACATTCACTTCAGTGTCTTTCAATCCACCTCTGATCTTTGCCAAGACAGTCTCAGTACTATATATTGCATCATACACAACACGACCCAGAATGATGTCCCTCTGCCGTCTCACGTACACCCCGTCTCTTAAATCTGACCAGAAGTTTCCCCCCTCCCCCCTCCCAAAAGAAATATTTTCTCAGAGCACTTTGGCAAATGAGACCACAGATGAGAAAAGAAATAACAGACCTGCAGCATAACACATCATAACACATATCAGTGATGAGACATCAAGAGTTGTTTCATTGATACAAAGATTGTTAACGTCAGGGTTTGTTCTGCTGAAATGCTTCCACAGATACTCGGTGTGATCTTGATGTGCTTCCAGTTGATAAGAATTGTTTAAGTGGACAAAAACAGACCAAAATTATCAAATATTATCAGTGATTTTGTTAAAAAAATGTAGTAGTGAATCCCTTCAAATGGCTGCATGGTTTAGTGCAATAATGCTGTGATTATCTGATATTTTAGCAGCAGTTATCAGGACCATTAATTTCTCATCAAATTTAGATTTTAAGTCCTTCACAGTGTTATCTCTGTGGCCTGACAGCACAGAGCATGTGCAGACGTCAGTGTGTGGTTTTTAAAAATCAGTTGTTAGTAGAAGGGACGCTCTCTGTCCCTTTTTTGTATCTTGCATTGCCACTATTTGTCAAACCTGAATTTATGCACTTATGTATGCTTCTGTATGGGGAATGTAGCTTCTGAACAGCTTTCAGTGTTATCAATATGTTATCAGTATGTGATGCTTTTTGACCCTCTGTTGAGATTCCCCTGATGTCTCGTTGAACGTGATGAGTCGCTGCAGCAGAATGTTTTGATTTTATCATGCATACTTCGTCATGGCAGTGATTGTACTAAATTATTAAGCTGTAGCAAATAATTTAGTCACAATGAGATGTCTGTCCAGTGCTGTGTGTATGGGATCATTACTATTTGAGTTAAAAAAGATGCTTTACAATTTATTTAATTTAGGTCAGGGCTTTATGTTTACATATAACATTGACCCCAAACCAGAAAAATAACACACAAAACAAATATTAGGGCTGCAAAAACAAAAGATTATTTTTCATCATCTGTTATTCTGCCCATTCATTTCTCAATAAATCAACCATTAGTTGTTTTGTTTGTAAAATGTCAAAACGGTCCAAAACGCAGCAGAAAATCATCGGAAAGACTGGAACAAGCAAATGTTTGGCAAGTCCGAATGTTTGATAGTTAAAGCCCAGGTAAGCAGAAATTTGAAAAGGCAAAGAAAAAAGACAGACGTTGAAAATATAGCTTCGTCCTGCAGCTTCATGCCACCACAAACAAGGCAAGAATTAGCTAACTAGTCTTCCCACAGTCCCTCCGCCTCACTCCTCACCGGCTGTGGACTGCTTTCCCAAGAGAAAAGCAGACAGATTGAGAGACAGGCCTTCGGTCAGCAGCTGTAGCGACTTGAAATCAGCTAGGACAAACCCCTGTCACCAGCTGGTGGCGGGTGGGGATGCCAGGTCTAACCTGCGTGACAGCAGCAACAGAAAGTTTGCAGATTGAGGGTCTGTTTCCACAGCTGCTGTCTGCTCTCCTCCCGGCAAGTTGTTCTATAAGGGTTTGGAGTGAGGTGGAGGACACACTGTGATTTGAGGCTCTTACTAACTTTAGCCACTTGAACATGAACTTGAAGCCGCAGCTGTGAGCCTTTAGCTCTGTTAGCAGAAGGCTAAACTAATAGCAAAATTTTCTCTTCATCTCTGAGACACTTTTCTGATATCAACACATTTTATTTCGTTTATTGTCAGACTCTCTTTTAGACTCTCTTTTTGATAAGTCTGTCTTCCTTTTTGGGTTGCTTTGCAGTGTAGGCAGTTGTCACCAATGCTGGAATAGCAACTTTCTGTGATTTGGCCAAAGTCTCCTGTCACAGCCTAGATTTCTAAAGCCTGAAAACAGAGCCAAGAGGAGATGCAGTAGTCCAGTTTTCTCACAGACCACTTGAATTACAGTATGCTCAAAGTTTATTATTGGATTTTTGCCCAGTGACACCCAAATGAAACTGCCTATCCCAGCTTTAATTGACTGTCAAAATAGTTGCTAATTAATTTTCTCTTGATTGACAAATCAGTTAATTGACTAAATATTTCAGCTGTAACACATATTTAAGACTTACAGGTCCCCCTTTCCCCCTGTAAGCAGACAGATGTGAAAACTTGAAACACGTGTCTTTCTGCAAAGTGAAGCTGAAACATCCAAATTAAGTAACAATTAGCAAAACACATTGTCGAATTAAAGTGAGGTAGACTGACAGTGTTTGAGTCTTTGAAGTGTGTCACTGCCTTATTTTTGAGGAGTTATGCATGATACAATCCTGAAACATTTTCCCACAGTGATTCATCAGCCCCTGATGTCTTTTTGTGTTTTTGATCATTTGATCTGATCTTAAAGAGTTAATGGGAGATATTTTTAAAAATCTTTTTTGACAAAATATTTGTAAAATGCTGTTTCTCTCTGTCTGCCTGGTGTTCCACCCTGCAGTGCCTTGTTGCACTCGTTTTGGATGGCAGGAACATTTGGCTCTTAGATGTGTGGACGCTCGTCCTGCAGGGCCTTGCGAAAGACACACTTGAATTTCAAGGGTTGCAATGGTTCAGCTCTAAATGGACTTCTCGGTCAGGGAACAAAAAAAAAAAAAACAGATGCTCCTCATGAACTTACAGAGCATTTTCAAGGAGCACAGTTGTGAAAGAGCACAACAGAAGCAGCTGGCCTCCCTTCCTGCCTTCTCGTGGACAAGATGTTTGTTAAAGTGTCGAGAACGAACCCTGCTGCCCTTCTGCTACGTGTCATTTATCTCTACACTGTGGTTCAGCCTCGAATCAAAGCACAGACACTGTCCATTTTCATAGATTTACTTGGTTCCATCTGCACACTGTATATTCTATATTTGAAGCCTGTCGGAAACGTACTTCTCCATTAGGACTGACTGAAACGAGTGAATGTTTATGTACAGTAATACCTACTGTTGTGCATCTCTGCTGTACCCGAGCATGGTGGGAACCTGGAGAAGCAGATTAAAGCTCAACACTGTTTGAAGACCTCAGCAGAAACACTGCTTTAAAACAAAAGAACAAAAAAAAAAGTGTTAACTCTGTGACCTGCAGTATTAACTTTAGGTCGTATTGCATTATTCAAGCAACACTGTTGTACATTGAGGGACTTTTTGTGGAACTCTTTATAGCCGACAATATATTACTACTGTTGAGGTCAGTGTTGTAGTTTCGTTTTGAATTACCGGTATTTATTTGCATGATATTTTGAACAATTTACAGATTTGTGTACATACTCTGATGGATATTTTACATTCCTGTCCACATCCGGCTCTCCAGTACTGTGGGGAGAAGTGAAGGTGCCCTCTGTGGATATTTTAGGTGATGTGGAGGCCTCAGAGCTCTTTGCTGTGGGTAACCGAATGAAGCTGAAAGTTTGAC